GATAAGAGAAGGGTGTGAAGAGAATTTAATCCAGTTGAGGTACCAAATTTCTAATTTAGAAAGTGGGTCAAGTATAGGTATATTAGAGGAATTTTCAGAAGAAACTATTGGACTTGACGAAGATATAGTGAGATTGACAGGAGTAATATTGTTATTAATACTGGGGGCAAGGTTAGATTGTGATCTTGAAGTGCAGTAGAGAATCCAGATATTTGTATAGATTTGTTGGTTAAAATGAAGAAGAAATTAAATAGCTAGAGAGCAGACAAAGTTGTGAGATGAGGTGATTCTTAAAGATAAATTAAATATTATATAAATAAATTAATAATAATTTTTTTAATTTAAATAAATCATTCACTATACCTTTACTAGTTTTTTCTTTTCCATAATAATTAGCAAGAATATAAATTTCATTATTTCCATAATCTGATAATGACTTTTTTTTTAATAAATTTTGTGAATCAAAAATACTAAAAATATTTAAAATTTCATAATTAGGAAATTATCTATTAAGATTTTCAATTGTAGCAATTGCAAATTGTTGTATAAAATCTAGAATATCATCTGAAGTAAGATTATTAGTCTAAAGATATATACATAAATGATAGCCCCTGATTGGTAAAAAATTTTTAGTTTCAATAAAACTTTCATTAATTGTTTGAATAACAGTTGCAATTTGTAGCTTAATTTCTGCAAAAGAAATATAATCTAACTAAAAACTTAATATTAATCATTTTAAATTTCCAAGAATATGCCAAAAAATTTGTTGTTATATAAAATGTTTGATCAATCAAATCTAATAATAATTGTACTACTTTTTCTGTATTTGAATCTAATAATAAGGCACTAATAACAAAGTCTAATATATAATATAAGTTTGATACAATATTTGATAATAAAAGTCAATGAGTTTTAACAATATGTAACAAATATAAATTAGGATCATCTAATTGTTTTTTTACTATTTTTAAAGTTTTTATATATTTATAAAATCAGCTAAAATAAGTATAAAGATTTTTAACAATTTTGTTATATATATGTATGCATACAGTATATGGAATTGATTTAGCTACATTTTCACATGTAAGAGCTAAACAATATAATATGCAATAGTGTTCTGTAATAAATAGATTTTGATTTTTCAATTATGCTGCAATACTATTTAAATGACCTACAAATTAAATATTTGAAAATATAAATAAAAATTGTATAAATATGAAGTACATGCTATAGATACTATTTTAGTTTAATCAAAAGTATTTTAGTATTAATTTTTAATATAAAATTACTAAGATTTTAATAATTTTATATAAAAAATTAATACTAAAATATTTTTGCTATGCTAAAATAGTTTTTATATATAAATAATAGTTTATATTAATTATCTAATATAACTGATTAGTATTTGAAAAAGTTAAATTGGATCAGATTCAAGATTTTGACAGATCCGAACCGTCGGATCAGTTTTGGCTTAGAAATTTCAGATTGGGCCCAGATTGAGTGGGATTGTGCCTAATTTTAGGCCATGTTTTTATATAATCATTATAAGTGAGAAATTCGAATTTGTTACGTGATAAATTCGAATTAATCACATACAGTATCACAATATAGGTGATATATTTGAATTTATCATGTGACAAACTCGAACTTATTACATATATTGTGGTAAAATAAATGTAACAAACCATGATCAACCATCGGATTAGCACAGATCACTCTTAGATTTAATCTGAATTATAAATTCAGATCAGATTCAAATTAACTCTAGATCAACTAGAATTTTTAATCTATTTTCAAACACTATAGCTGATGTTTCATCACTACCAAAATGGTCTAATATTAAAACTAAAAGATTTTTAATTTTAAAAAATTCATTTAATTTTTTTATAATTTTATTTGCACTACAATCTTTTAGTTCAATTAATCCAACAAATTGGTATACTGGCATATTAGAAGTAATATGCTTTGATACAATAGCTAAAGTCTTTTTTTTTGTAACTGTATTACTTTCATCTATCATTAAACTTCATACAGATGATTTACAAATCTTATAACAAACTTTTTCTTTAATTACTTTTTCAATTATATTAATAAAATCTCTTTTAGCATGATTATTGTTGTAAGAACTATAAGGGTTTCTCATTAAGTTTGTATCTTGTAATATTGAAGAAGTTTTTAAAATATTGATATTTGGTAATATATGTAATTTTTGAGTATTTTGGATTTGCTGATTAATAAGATTACAAAGATTAGTAATTGTATATATAGCTATATTGTATTAAATTAATCAATACATATTAATTATATTACATATAACATGAAGTTTGTCAATTCCAAGTTGCTTTATAAAACTTGTAACTATACTTAATTGTATTTCAAATTATGCTTTTAAAGTTTTTTGATAATCTTTAGTATCAAGATGTTGTTTAAGTAATTGTTTTTTAAAATTATTATATCTAAATACAAATATATTTGTATATTTGGTAGCTTTATACCAATTACAAAACATAAGTTTTTTATCTTCATCAAAGTATAACCAAGAATATGTAATTAACCAAATTTGATTAAATTCAAGATTTTCTCTTAATAAATATGATAATTTCGATTGAAAATTTTCACTATTATTATTTAGAGTTAGAGAGCTTGCAGTATTTATAGTATCTTTATCTTCACTATTGATTAATTTCTCATAATATCACTTTTTTGCTTGTGCTGCAATTGTAAAAGGATTCATAGTAATAGGTTGAACAACTTGTTTATCTTTGCATAATATTATAAAAAAAAATAATAATAGTAAGCTTTCAAAGAAAAAAAAAAAGATTATCACATATCATATATTATTATAAAAAAATACACTTTAACTAATTTAAGATATTTATTTAAATAAATATTTAAACTAACCATTCGCTCTAATTCATTAGATTTTTTTGTTAATTATTAATATAAAATCTGTTATACACATTCACCTAATTTAACAGCTTTTCTATAATAAGTAAATATCTTGCAGTTATCTTTTTTGATACCAATTTCTTTTTTTTAATAATATCTAACATTATAAGCACTAGTAAAGTATCTCATTTTAGCTAAGTTTTAATAATAACAAAATGTCTTTTTTCATCTTTTCTGGTAACAACTAGCAAGAAGAAATAATCTGTTAAGATTTCCTATTTGAACAGCTTTTTAAATATAATTGAATATTTTTTTTTTGTCTTTTTTAACATCATTATCATTAAAATAACAAAGTCCAAAACTATATTGTTTTAGCGCTTCCTATTTCAAAAGATTTTTTTAAAATAGTTAAATGTTTTACAATTATCTTTTTTTTTTTTTTTTTTTTTTTTTTTTTTTTAATCTTAGGCAGTCTCACCAAAACTTTATTAAGTTTATTTGCTATACTAGATTACA